TGTTGCAAGTTGAAGTGGTACGGTCGCCAGCACGTTGCTCGTCGCGCTTGAAGCTGCTGCACTTTACGACGTCTTTTCCGATACGGTATGATCACGTTGATGTTGAAGTGAGCTTCGTTAGATATACTTTACACCGAGTCGCAACTCGGTTTGCGACTGACGGCAGCGGCGAGGCTTCGCCGTCTCGAACGCGAGGTGCGTGTATGGCGAGGCCGGAACGAGGTGGACGGGAAGCCAGGCGTCGAGACGAAGGACGTTCGTCAGTTGGAAAAGACACATCAATTGGGTATCCAACAGCAAAGGTTGAAGATGCAGCTTGGTCAAGAACGCAGCGCGCGTGCGGCCGCTGCGGACGTCGCGACGGGCGCTTCGGGACGGAAGACTCGGTCGTTTCGGGCGAGCCAGTCGGTGTGCGCCAGGATGTACGCAAGCCTAAACGAACACGTAACATAGACGCCAACAAGCTACGCTAACAAAGGTTTTAGCGATGGCCGCGCTCTTGCTGGACCAGGTTACCAATCCCATATGTGCTACTCCTCATTTTCCCTTCCTCGTCAAGAGGTAGCACCCAAGTGCCCATCCGAACCCACCGTCTCTTCCCCGCCGCCAAGCGTTCGACACTGCAGGCACAAATACGAAGCGTCTGCTAGATTTTGCGCAGTATCTAGTTCCGGCACGGAATTTACGGCCAAGCTACTTTGTGGGTATAGCTCGAGAGCGGATCTGCTTTTCGCGCTCGGCGTTGATCGGCAGAGTTGTTTGCGTCACACACTGTGACGACGGCGGTGCTACAAAGTGCCGAAGCACCTGCTAAGACACTCAATGAGAGCGTCGTATCCTGATGGGTCGTCAAGTAGTACGTCGTCCCACTCTATCGACCATCAACCAACCCTCCACGAACGCGCTCCCCAACACCCCCCACGAACGCGCTCCCCAACACCCCCACCCTCCTCTCCACTACGGCATTCGAATCCCCACAATGTGGGGATACTAATCGTGCCCTCATACACCCAAACACCCTGGGGAAATGAATCCGACGATGATCCAATTTTGAACTCCCATGACAACGACGCTCTGATTGCCGACTGCTTCGTCTTTTACGCCGAAACACCACGTGGCCCAAGTGCAATGTGTTGCCACCTAGGTCACTTCAACGTCGTCGCTGACGACGTTGAAGTGGCCCACACACCCATGCACTTGCACAAGCTCAAGCTCAAGCTCCAACCTCACTTTTCCTTTTGCCTTTTTCAGCGCAAGCGGTCCATTCACTATGGCTGGTGGTGTTGTCATCCTCCCGACCGGCGGTGCCCACGACGTGCCCACCGAAGGCTCCCGCACGTACGCGATCGTCGTCTGCGTCTTTTCGTCACTCGGCGGTATCTTCTTTGGCTATGACCAAGGCGTCACCGGCGGTGTCCTCGTCATGGACTCGTTCCTGAACGATTTCTGCGTCGACTACGACGGCAACACGAAGGCTGCCTGCACCGTCAACTCGGCCGACCTCCCGGACAACTGGTCGACCTTCACGACGCTCTTCAACGTGCTCTACTACATTGGCTGCATCTTTGGTGCGTACCTCGGCGGTGTCATCGCTGACAAGTATGGCCGCCGCGCCGCCATCTTCTCCGC